ATTAACAATGAGAGCAACACACTTTCACAGTACATGTGTACAGAAGGATTATTCCACCGCAATGATCATACACCAGGCACAAACGTGGTGCACACACATATACATAAGCAAAATGCATGTAAAGTAAAATATAAATGAATCTGAAAAATAAGCACTACAGGATGCCACAGAAACTGTAGGTCCAATTCTCTAGGTACCCAGTGTGCACCACCTGCCCTTCACGGAAAGATCAGAAAGATCTGACCAGAGCAAGAAAGGTCTAGTTTCTGACCAGGGCACCTTGCTAACTATCTGGCTGGGATGTACTTAAAGGATCTTAAACATTCACCAAAGCATATGCCAACTTTAGTCACAAAGGAAATGCAATGGATGCTAAATATCATGAACAACAGTTTCAACCATACTCAAGCATATTAGTTATTTTCATATTGCTGTGAGAAAACACCATGTCCAAGGCAACTTATATAAGAAGTATTTAATTGGGCTTATGGTTTCAAAGGTTTAGAGTCAGAGTCCATGATGACCAAGAAAAGGCATGGCAGCTGGAATAGCTGAGAGATCATATCTTGATCTACAAGTAGGAGCAGAGACAGACAGACGGACAGACAGACGGACAGACAGACAGACAGACAGACAGACAGACAGACAGACACACACACACACACACACACACACAAAGAGAGTGAGAGCAAGCGAGAGAGAGAGAGAGAGAGAGAGAGAGAGAGAGAGAGAGAGAGAGAGAGCATGCACTAGGGATAGCATTAGTTGTTTAAACTTCAAAACCTGTCCCCAAGCCTCCTAGTCCTTTCCAAGCATTTCCATCAAATGGTGACCAAGCATTCAAACATAATTTTATGGAACCATTCTCATTAAAATCACCACATTATACCTCATACCCCCTATCGACTCATGGCCGTAACACAATGAAAAATGTATTTAGTCTAACTTCAAAAGTCTCCATAGTCTCTTTCAGTCTCAACATCATTTTAAAGTCCAAAGTCTCTTCTGAGATTCAAGGCAATCCCTTAATTGTAACCCTCTATAAAAGCAAATTAATACTCCCGACATACAGTGACACCGGATATATATTGCCATTCCAAAATGAGGCATAATGAGGATCAAAGCAAAAATCAAAACCCACAGGACCAACTCTAAATCTTATAGCTTCACGTCTGATGTCAAGGGGCTTCAATGACTCTACCATTTCAATTTTGTTCACAGAAACACACTTCTTTTTGGGGGGGCCAGTTCCACTCCCTTTGTGTAGCTCTCTTTGGCAGGTGTCTCATAGGTCTGGCATGCCCAGCATCTTAGGGTCCCCAACACAAACCAGGCTTCATTTTCAAAGTTTTACAAAATGGCTTCTCAGGGCCTCAGGAATATGACTTTCCTGCCACATTCCAAGCCTCAGGAGCTCTCCTTAACTGTGGAGGAAGGTTCCAAAACGCCTTTACCCCTGTAACCCTTCGTGATTCTATAGCTAAAATAACATGGATGACACTGCCAAATTTGACTAGCAATTGGAGTGAACCCTGGTGCTCTCGAATCACATCAGCTGCACCCTTGGTTTGTTGTTGCTTTCTAAGGAGCAGAAAGTTCCTCAGGCCTTTTGCTTTCACAAGCTGGGGGCTTAGGTGGGTTCTTGCCTTGAAGGCACCTTTCCCTTATTTCATTTTAGATCAGGCCTCTGCTTAACGTCCTTATCTTTTCTAGCACAAACCCTGGCTCCAGCATTAGTTTCTTGGTGCTACTTTTTGCTTTAAACTGCTTGTTTTGTATTTCTTTCTACCCTACTTCCTCATTTTCTGTAGACCTATGTAAAGGAGATTGCAAATGACCACCACATCAATGTTAAGATGTCTCCAAATCTCCAACAAAGAAACTGGTTTATTACTTTTCAATGTAGCATCGGGCAAATTCTTAAGACAAGGAAAGAAAACAGCCACATTCTTTGCCAAAATTTCACAGTAATCGTCTCTAGCCCAGTTGCTAACATTGATGCCCTCTGAAACCTCCACAATCTACATGGCTCTCAGTATTGCTATCTTCTAAGATCCCACTTGATGGTCCACTAAGTTCTACTTACAGCATTCAAATGTTTTCCTAGTCCAAAGAAATCTTGCACATTCCTCCAAAGAACTGCATGGTCAGGCATGTCATGGCAATAGGCTACTCCCTGGTACCAACTTCTATCTTAGGAACTTTTTTTGTTGCGGTTATATGACACCATGACCAAGGCAACTAGCAAAAGAAAGCATCTATTGAGCTTACAGTTTCATAGGGCTAGAGTCCATGTCACAGCAAAGGCGTGGCAGCAGGAATGGCTGAGAGTGCATATCTGGATTCGTAAGTCAGAGGCAGAAAGAGACCACTGAGAGTGACACTAGTCTGTTTAAATCTCAAAATCTGTCCCCAGTGACACGCCTCTGCTAACAATCCATTCCTCCTAATGCTTCCCAAACAGCTCCTCCAACTAGGGACCCTGTATTCAAATATATGGTCTCACTCAAACCACCACACAGAGAATAATTTTTATTCACAATTTTCAAAGTATAATAATTTATATACACGCATATATCTATTGAGAAATACATATAATTAGTCTCTAGCTCCATATCTTAACTTCTCTGAATATTGATTTCATTTGTTTTTTGTTGTTGTTGTTGTTGTTTTTTGTTTTTTGTTTTTTGTTTTTGTCTAGATCAAAAAAGGAATTGGGATCATGGAAAGTAGTAGATTGGCTGAGAAACTGAGGTGGGAATAGCTTGGAGGTGAGGAGTCTTGGTGAACTGACTTCCAGGACCATATTTCCAAAGGGCTTGTGTCCATGTTTAGAAGAAAAAGGGATGTACTTTATCTCTAATGACTATGGTTAGGACTAGCAAGTAGAAGTTCAAGGGCAGCAGATGTCACTTACAAACAGAACTTCCTGGCAGTCAGAACTACTCCACTTTGGAAAAATGGAAAGCCCTACGTCAAGGGAGTTCCAGCCTAGGATGCTGTATTGGGTTGAGAGAAAATGGCTCCAAAGGAAGTGGTACTATTAGAAGGTGTGGCCCTGTTGGAGGAATCATGTAATTTCGGGGGGGGGGTTGTGGGCTTTGAGGTTTCCTATGCTCAAGCTATGCCCAGTGTCATAGTTCACTTCCTATTGCCTGCATAGCAAGATGTAGAACTCTCAGCTCCTTCTCCAGCACCGTGTCTACCTGCATGCCACCATGTTTCCTGACCTGATGATAATGGACTGAACCTCTGAACTGTAAGAGAGCCACCCCAATTAACTGTTTTCCTTTATAGGAGTCGCCATGGTCCTGGTCTCTTCACAGCAATAGAAACCCTAAGACAGATATTATGGTGATTTGAAAGACAATGGCTCCCAGAGTATTTGCTTAAAGACTGAAGCTAAAGTTAAAGTCAAAAGAGTCTAACCCCAGAGGCTGTTTGCTTCATAATGCCACAGCAGTTTTCACTTACATAGACTAACAAATAGTCTACACAACTTAATATGAGGACTGGCACATGGCAGGGACTCAGTAGACAGTAGGCCCCTTCTACCCGTCAACCTTATGACTTTAACCTGAACACACCCAGTGAGCCAGCCAATGGTCACCTTTCAGTTTGGGCCCCTTGATACCCTCACCCTCAACTGGTTATAATGGGGTAACAACCGTTCTCATGATCAAATCACTGTAGCATATGGTACCTTCTAGTTCTTAGAACCAAAATATTTCCTTAAAGTCTCCTGTCACACGTTATTTAACAGAGTTGGACCACAGTCTTATCCCAAAACTTGTTAGTATTTAGGCATTTATTTGGTCTGCTTTTGGAAATCTAACAGGACACGCCCTCAGCTGCAGCCACTAAGAGCACCACATGTGCCTATTCACTATGTTCCCTTTTAAAAGGGCCCTGCCCACACCCATCTCTCTTTCTCTACCTCTGTCTGTGTCATCCCCCATCCCTTTTTCCTTTCTCTCACTGCTCCTGTCCTTGAAGGCTGGTCTCCCCCTCCCCTTCCCCTTTTTTACGATCCCTTTCCCTAATAAAACATCTCTCCACCTGAATTATGTTGCATGGCATCTTTCTCTCGCATGCTGCTTTTTAAAAATCACAACAAAACTAATGAATGGTAAAAGGAGATAAACAAGTGAATTAAGGAAGGAAAGGGGAGATAATGAATGCTGTATGGGTCCATAACTGTGTCCCCTAGACCCATAGTTTTCTGGTAAACAAACCAAGGCTTAGAAGGATTTACTTAACACGCCAGAGTCCAGGGGTAGGAATATGGCCATCATAGTAAAAGCGTGTCACAAATAAGGGAGAGTGAGGGCCAGGCTAGAACAGGGAGAGAGGTGAAGACAGTGTTTCTTGCCTATATAGCATTTTGAATTCAGTCTCATCAGGACTGACTACATTAACTTCCTAAAGTCCTGGTTTGCAGAGACTGGGAAACTCTGAACATCAAGAATTTCTAAAGCTCTCCGGGATGTTTTAATGTATCACCAAGATCAGAATCACTGGTTTAGGAAGACAACTGTTGACCTTTGAAGAGTTGATGCTGAAAGCACAGCACTGACAGGGAAACGAGGAGCCTGACTCTGCTGTTTCCTCCCAAGTAATTGCTGCCTTTATTGAGGACAGCCATGTTCCAGTCACACATGTGACCTAACACTTGCCATCTGGTCAGGCAGTTATGATGGAATGAATTACGGATAATATACTCACAGAACACCATTTTCTTACCATCCCTACAAAGTGCTCCCATTTTACAGATGAGCAAATCGAGACCCTGACTCCCTATTCCTTGACCTACCAGCCAAAGAAATTAGGAGGCTGGGAAGCCAAACTGGAATTTAGAGAACAATAGCAGCCTGGAGAAAAGCCCTGTGGTAGGTTTCTTCTCCTCTCTTTCTCCATCCCCACTTCCTCTCCTCTCTCTTTCTGCCCCCCTCCCGCACCCCTCCCCAAGCCTCACCTTGCATCTAACTTATTCTGTTTAGGAATTCTCCTGGCCTCTCTCGTCCTCCTTGGAACCCCAGTCTGTTGGGAAAGAGGAGAAAGGACTGGAGATACTGACTGAGGCATAGCTGGGGATCAGAACCAGCCTCTGTGCCTGAGAAACCGCAGCCATGAGAAACCACCACAGCCCTATATTTTGGAAGACCTAGGAGCTAGCCTGAGATCAGCACCTCATCTGTGGTGAGTAAATTCCTTATTTCTCAACTCCAGTGTCAGCATGAAGGGTTTGCACCAGAGCATTTGGGTCACAAACTCTAGTTCTGAGGTCTAGGTAGATACAGGGATCTAAACAGGGACTGTCGAGCAGGCCTGCACATGCCATGCCCCCCCCCCCAAATAGTGTGAATTAACTGAATTCCAGGAGCTGTCACTATGAGGGCTGGAGGACTTGGCATTTTGAGGACTTTGGGGTTGTTTTTAAAGCATTGTTATTAAATCTATGTTTTTATCTATTATCTTGTAGTTAATATGTTGGCCCAGTGATAATAATATTAATAAATGTGTGTGTGACAAAACAAACAACAATAAAAGAACATGAAACTGGGCTAAACTTGGCTTCATCTTTGAGTACTTTGGGCTAAACTGTCTAACAGGCCCTTACTCTACTCAAGGGATAAACCAACCTTGCAGGACACAAGCATGGGCATTTCTGCATTAACTAGAACTTCTCTTCAGAAAGTAAAATTGAAATTGCATGATCGTTATCACTAACTTCTAGTACTTTGGTATGCATTTATTTTCAGGGTCCCTGGTGAAACAAACCCCTTTCCAAAAATCTGTCTGGTTTTAAAAGCTAGGCTAACCATTTCATAGAGAAACAGTGCCCTCTGCTGGAAGAGTGCAGCAGAGCAATGCCAGGGTGCTGAGATAATTTAATACTTTCATAAAGTGACTGTTCTCACTTGAAATAGATTTCATGAAGAATAATAAATAAAATAGTATATGAATGCATATTCATGAATGGCTTGCTATATGTTGGGCAAAATTAGGCTTTGGTGTGTCCATTTGGGAGTAATTAATTACTCTTGGTCTATAAAAAGAAGTTAAGGATTAGAAAAAGGCTGGAAATGTTTGTTATATTGATGGACAACAATCTGGAATGGGAAGGCATGGAGAGAAAGCTGGGTCTCCAGGCAGCGTTCTGAAAATCAGAGACATAGTAATTTACTGCAGGTCCCAGTGGTTGTTCCCACTGCATCTTTTTGACAATTCTCTGTAATAATTCTACAGGGCCAGGACAATTAATTATCCCCATTTGACAAGTAAGGAAAGTGAAGGCCAGAGACTCTAAGTGACAAACAGCGTCTTTGTCCACTAAAAGACAAAACCAAGTGTTAATCCCTTTCTGAGCTTCTCTATGCTTCCATTTTCCTGTCCGTGAAGCACAGGTAGAAGCAACCTCTGCCTATCCCAAAGGTTAGTTGAGAATACTCATGTGGGACTCTCAGCATGATGCTTGGCCCAGAGTGAGCCTCAAAGCTACGTAACAAGCAGAGACTTGGGCTTCCGGGTCCCTGTGCTGTGCCTCTTCCACAATGTAGTGTTAAGGTCTTCAAGGCCTCAAGAGAAATAGTGACACTGGGATTGTTCACATGTACTCCAAGCCCTAACCTTGTGAACACTAGTGACTTCCACAATGGCTGTTAAGACCTTGAATTGCATTACAGAAATGGGTCATTCTTTCTTTGAGATCATTACATAATTACAACATTTCCCCCATCCCTTCCCTCCCTTTAAATCATCATCTATGCTCCTCTCCACGCTCCTTCAAATTCATGGCATCTTTTTTTCACTAATTGTTATTGTGTGAGTATATGTATATACATATATGTATTCCTAAATATAACTTGTTCAGTCCATATATGTTATTTGCTTGTATGTTTTCAGGAATGATGGTCTGACACAGGACAACCAATGGGTGTGCTATTCCCTGAGGGAAAACCTCCCTGCCCTCTGAAATGGGTCAGTCTAGGGAAGCTGTGTCTCCATGGATTGAGTGAGGACTACTGTACAGATTCCTGAGCTCAGAATTTTAGTATGAGGTGTGGGGTGATATCTGAAAGTTCAGAAACCATGTCAGAAGGAAATTACTACTACAGAACTGGGGACCCACGACCAGGAGGGGAGAAAACTCAAGGAACATGCATTCATTCAGTCCTTCCCTTATCTGTTCTTTTTATGTTTAGCCTGTTTACTTGTGTGTGGCCCTGTGAAATAGACATTACATCTGGTTTCATTTAACCTACTGTAGAGAGGGTCAGAGAATAGCACAAGCATCTCATAGGGAAGTAACCTTCTGAGCAGATTCACACAGCAGGACAGAACTCAACATGTCTGGAAGGGGTTGGCTGACCTGTGTACAGCACTTACTGCTAAGACTATCCACTTGGAAACTAAAAGGTCACTGGGAAGCCTTCAAGGAGACTGAAGGTGGTGCTGGGTTGTGGTGGGATTTGACCCTCTTTTCTACCCTTTGGGCCTAGACATAGTCAATGCATCAGCCTTCCCAGAGTTCACTGGGAAGACCAGCAACTAATGCCACCTGTCATTCTTAGAGGATAAGCAAACTTACAGCTGTGGGTCTTTGGTTTCCTTTCTTGATCCTTTCTTTGTGTCTCAGTGATACTGAGACCTTTTCTTTTCTGGCCACCCAAGATTCCTAAAAACATTGTCCTTTGACCATAGCTTCTAAAGGACTGACATAAAAAATCTTTGGGATAGGACATGGGCATTTTCTTTTGTAATCATTTGTGGCAGTAGGCCTTGAACCAGGGGTCTCACACTTGGTGGGCAAATGTTGTACCACTGAACTGTATCCCCACCAGAATTTTTGTGCTTTACTTTTAAAAAATTGAGAATTGTGATAGGGTCATGTCAAGTTGTCCAGACTGACCTTAAATTCACTCTGCAAACCAGACAGACAGGTTGAACTCACGTGAAGCCCAGGTAGGTCTTGAACTTCTGATCCTGAACTACAGTCCTGCACCACCAGGCCCTGCTGAGTTTTTTAAAGTCTATTATGAAACACTTTCATCTTCATTGTAGATAACTGACAAGCACAGACAAGCTCTAAGAGTGAAGAAGGACATCACCCAACGATAACCATTACTAACATTGCTTCCTTCTACTTGTTTCCTCCAATTAGAATTTTACTATATTTTTAAATACACATGATCATTCCAAACCCTGACATATTAATGATTATTCAAAAGAAATAGTTATGACAATATCTTTATTACAATCATATGAATCATGTGCTTATTATTATTTTTATCATATAATATTGCTCCTAGTAAAGGCATTGTACTTTATCGGCTCTCATATCTTGACCATTTCCAATTTTTTTGTATTGTAAACAATGCTCAAACCTAAAATATTCTATGGCTATTTAAAATGTAAGCGAATGTTGTACATAAAGATGTTGCTTGGTCATAGCTTTTAATTCTCTATTTAACCACTACCCCCGATGCTTACAACAGGCTTACTTCATCTTTACTGCACAATCCCAAGTCTCATGACATGGCCTATCCCATTTTCTCTCTGGAATACTCATGGCTTCTACTGATAGTGAGGCACGGGCTCATCTCTCTTAAAAGAGGAGCTCAAAATTCGAAGCAAGCTCAAATGTCCTTTGCTTAGTGAGGCTTTCTTCTCGGCTCTCAAGACTTCTTGTCCCTGTCTCAACACCCTTCTCTCTTATTGTGCTGTTTGACTGAGCAAAACAGGCATTTGGTTAATTAGTTGGAAAACTGGTCATCACACTGCAGGCTGAATTGAGCAATGGAAGTAGTCTGGTGTCAGAGCTAGGAATCATTATTGAAAATAACGTGGTTACTCATGCTAGTGTGTGCATGAACATGCAACCCATGTACACACTAGCCTGCAGAGGCATTCCTTTTCCTGTTTTTCTCCTGGATGAATACTTTTTGTTCTTGGAGGACACGGCACTGTACCAAAGAAAGAAGCTAGGGTCTAGGGTCTAATTCCAATTTCTACACTTCTAATAGAACTGGAGCAAAAACTGTGTGGTGGGCACAAAGTTGAGCTCTGGAAGTATAAAACCAGAGAGTGTGAGAGAGATATTTATGTGCAGAAGGCAAGCACAATAATGGAAGAGTGAAAACAACCTGTACACATGTAGGTCTATATGGCTATATAGGGTATAGGGAAAGAAAACAAATGGCATGTGTTGTGGAGACAGAAGAGATGGAGTGGCAGGGAAGAACAGGTTAAAACTATGGAGGAGTATTTTAATGTCAACAGGTTGTCCCTGAGTGGACCAGAGAGGAAATATCAAGCAGATGGCATACTAAGGCACCTCTCTCAGGTGTCAGAGTCAGGTTCCTGATGCCAGTGGGTGATATGAAAGTAAAGTAAATTGTTGGGAGGCCTTGATGGTCAGAGGTTGCATTCTATCAAGGCCTGGCAGCACTCTCCAAAGTTCAGCAACATGAGGGACTCCCTCCCCAGCAAGACTTCCTGCTCTCTATCTACCCTTCTCTGGAGAATGTCTCTAGGGCTGGCCCTGAGGACTGACCTTACCTGAAAGCTGTCTCTAAGCCTGGATGCCTGCTTTATCTCTATCATTACCTTTGGCACAGTTTCCTGCTAGAAGCTTTCCTGCTGCACATATGGTAACTAAAACTTGTATTAGGAGCTTTGCTATTAGACCCAGCCTCCATATATGAAACCTTAGGATAGGAGTGTGCCATGTAATGCAAATTAGCATTTGTCCCCCAGCTCCCCAGTCCTATATATTTTCTATACTGTGGAATGAAGTTGAGCTGATTCACTGAAGTCATCTCCCAGACAGCTCTCTCCATCATATCTACAGTCCTCTGAACCCTGTTCCCGCTTCTGCTACCCTGAGGAAGAAGCAGAACCATAAGTAAATGAGTCAGTATGTAAAAAGAGTTTAGGGTCATGCCCAAACTCACCCATCCCCAGCTAAAGGCAAAGTGTTGGATCATCGTATGGCAACCTGGAAACATTTGTGCTTGTCTAAAGTCTCCCAATGACATGGGGGTTTGAAGTCTGGGAAGCTACATCTTGCACAATCCACATTCCCAGCATACATTCATTTCCTAGAGCCAGGCGTCATGACATGATACCAAATGCTCAGTAGCTTTAACAGCAGAAATTATTTTTTCTACTTTCATGGAGGCCAGAAGAGTTATATC